GGGGTCAGCACCTGTTTTAACACCCCCGCAAACACATCCTCTGACATCTTATCCACAAAATCTACACAATCCAGAATCCAGACAGGATGCAGCTGTGTCTTCTGCAGAAGCTGAATTTCCTACATTGAGGTACCTTATCTAGATTGGCAGTATTTCGTATTCTTTTTCTGCCTTTGTCTCATTGAAATTGACACGTGAGAGTCATCCTCTTGGAAAGAACGATAATAAATTAAATGCTTTAGCAGAATTGTATATGAGTGTCATGTATTGAAAAATGAAACTCAGCTCTTTAGGGTGACTGCTTATTTTCGAGATCTCACTCATTCTTCTGTACACTTCACAGAGAAAAAAATATGCATAATTGCTGGATAAAGAAGTAATTGATAAATCTATTTCCTGCTGCCTGGATGATTTACAATGGATGCATTTTCTTTGTGAGCTTTTCTGGATAATCCATGCAATCTGGAGGATACTATGTACAAAGTGATTGTATTAATTTATTGAATAGGAGCTCAAATGGCTTAAAGTTGTCAAAGATACTGTCATTGATTGATAAGCCTAGAATATTGCCTCTACAAGTTTCTGTTGATGTCTTGTCAATGTCAAATGCAGATAATTATCCAATTAAGACATGTTTGTAGAAACGATGTTAGTGAGGCATTTACCTTTGATTTCACTTATATTTGTTATGATGTTTACACATGTATGCATTGAACTTGTGAATCTACTTCTGCCAGTATTTTAGTGAACTCTAGCAATAAGGGCTTGTGATCCTCTTTCTTGCCTTGATGACTGGTTTTGATGTTTTGCTATCACTTTCATCGCATCTTTCTCAGTTATGAAAATCAAATGATTCTCTTTCTTAGAAGTTTGTGAATGCGAAATTGTAACCTGTACAAACTATTTCCCTTATAGACCAACTTGTTATGCATATATTCTTAGATTTTATGTTCTTGAAGACAGCTATATGCATTTTATTTATGATGTCCGATTTTTTATGTTAGCTTGACAGAAATTCAGAATGCACGGGGTATTATGGACGTCCTTGCAGAAATGCTGAGTGCTGTGGATCCTGGAAACAAAGAGGTACAATCTCATTATAAAATTTGAAGTTTTGCTTATTATTAGCCATTACAACATTTTTATTTCTTGAGCATCATAACTTAGCTGTTAATTATGATCTTCAATGGACAATTAATGGGATAAGAACTGTATTTCTTGCAAGATTGGCGAGTCCATCCTTATCTTATTCAAAGTCATAATTTTTACTTTTTTAAATCCATTGAGATATTTCTTTATTGCAAAGTTTGCATGTATACGTCACTTAATATTAGCAATTTATTTCTCTCTGAGTAGCAGGAAATCAGGCAGGAAGTTATTGTCGATTTGGTGGAACAGTGCCGTACATACAAGCAAAGAGTGGTTCACCTTGTTAACTCTACTTCGTAAGGCCTTGTTTGAGTTTTAGTCCTAGTCACCATGCATAAGGCCTTTTTTAGCTTCTTTATTTTCTCTCTCTTTCTATTGTTTTGGTCCTTCATTGGTTTATGGAATGGGAAAAAGGACGATGACTTGACAGAAATGCTTTGCATATTGAACTAGTAAATGTCACCAAGTGTAAGAGAAAAAATATCAGATTAGATCATTTGTGACAAGGGTGGAATATTTCTTAGCTGTGCGATGTTTTATGTTATAGTGTTTTTTTTTTCTGAGAATCTTTTCCACTGATTAGTTGAGAAGTTACTTATGTCAAACTTGGTTTCTAGATCTTCTTGCTTGAGCACTATAACATAGACTTGAAAAAACAAGTGGATAGGAAATATCTTTAGAAGGTGACCTAATTCATGATATATCTAAGCTATCCACGTCAGATAATTGAGAGGAATATAGAAACTTAATATAGTCTGAATAGATAAAAAAAAAAAACTCTTTAGAAGCTCCTGTGGTGGGTCTCATATGGCTTTTCAGCGTATGTCCTTGGTAAGAGGTGTAACCTTTCATAAATTGTTTATGATGGATGAAAATTGGAAGGCCCCCCTCCCCTCAATGGCTCACCTCTGATTGTTTTACTTTATTAAGCAATTGTTTTACTGAATTAAAACAAATGTTTTGGTGGTTAATAATTCCTTCTAAATTTATTTGGTGTAGCGATGAATCCCTATTAACCCAAGGATTAGCGCTGAACGATGATTTGCAACGTTTATTGGCCAAGCACGAAGAAATCGCTTCTGGAACCAACACAGTTCAATCTGACAAACCTAAACCCAATACTGTTCGAGCCCTGGTTCCTGTTGATGTTCCTCTTATTGACACTGGAGATAGCAAACAATCAGCCAAAGGGTAAAATTTGGATTTGCTATTGAATGAGTCAGATTATTTTGTTTGCATCAATAATGTTTGTAGTTTAGTTGCTTTTATATTTTGTGAGTTTCAGCGTTGCTTAAAATTGCTCAAGTGATTTCCACAGGTTTTTCTTGTGTAACCCTGAGAAAGTAGGAATAATTTGAACTGAATGTGTCAATGTAGACAATATGAATTTGTTGAGTTTTTTATTTTTCCCTAATAACTTAATGTATATGAACAAAGAGCATTGGTGTAAATTGTTCAATAAGAAGCCTTCACGGCCGACCCACCATCCACCCAAAACGAAAGCAAATTCCAGTGCTATAAAAAATGAAAACCTCCTAGCCTGTTCACGATTTTATGCAGACAAAATCTTCTTATTCCCATATTAATAATGGCTTTTACCCAATAGAAATAGAATATTTCATGCTCCAGACCATATAGTTTTGACTTTTGAGGTTGAGCATTTGGTAGACCTTATCAAGGCAATGTTTTAGACTCTTATCACAATTATATCTGCTATTAGTATATTTTCCACCTCTCTATCTAAATTGTTGGCAATGCCCGACTTTTCATTTTCAGATCTACATCCAATCTGGGGTCAGGTACACAATCATCGCTTACTGCTCCACCTGCTACTCATAATCAATTAGCAACTCCACTGATGACGGTTCCTAAGATAGACCTTTTGAGTGGAGACGACTTTGGCTCACCTACACCAGTAAACTTGCTGGCAATTGTTCCAGTCGGAGAGCCTCAACCTGCCAGTCCTGTTGCATCTCAGCAGAATGCCCTAGCTCTTGTTGACATTTTTGGACAAAGTAACAATAGTCAGTCTTCAAATTCTGTTGGACAAGCATATACTTCATCACCCCAATTTCAGCAACAACAGAGTTTTCAATCCTCTTCATCTCCATTATACCCTAATGGACGAGCTTCTGGCACAATATCGTCCCAATATGAACGATCACTTCACTCACAAGGCCCAACTTTTGCATTGAATGGTCCTAATCCCATAATTCAGCAACAGCAGCCACCGTCACCAGTTTATGGTGCATCTCTTCTTTATCCTTTAATTTGTTATTTTGAAACTTGCTCGGTTTTGTTGTTCAATGATGGACTGTTGGTCCCCAACATATTGTCCTAGTAGTAAGTTTGTCAGCAACCATTAAAAAGGAGCAAGTGGGGGACCGACTATATAATATAGTTGCACAATAAGTCCCAGTGACAAAAACTAACCAAATTCATGTTACTGCGTGCCCATCATAGAAGCATGTCTTACTTAACACCAGCTAAAGTTAAAAAGCAAAATCTAGCTTTATAAACTTGGACGTTTGAGGCCCACTTGATGGTTTAACAAAGATTTGGACAGTTTTTCGTGATTGGGAATTATAGCTAGGTCTTCTTTATCGTAAGCCATCTTTTTTCTTTTGCTTCTCACTGTAGTTACGACTATTTTCTTTGCTAGGTGCTCAAAGCAGTGATGCACTACCACCTCCACCCTGGGAAGTTTTTCTGGATAACAGTCAGTTGGCCAATAATCAGCCTCCTCAACAAATGCAAGTCCCACAAGTGGGAGTCTCTAACGTGCAGCCAATGCCCAGTGGATTATATCCCCAAGGATCGCAACATGTGGCGAATAACCAGGTAGGCGGGATGTATTTTCAGCCAATGGCAGCAATTAACAACCAGACCATACCAAGCAACCAAATGGTGGGCTTGCACCCTCAAGCAAACCCTGGTTGGCAGCCCGTGGGTATGTTTCCTCAGCCAATGCAATCTGGACAAATGGCTTATATGTATCCTCAGCAGTTTTATGGAAACCCAATGGCAGCCTATGGCTATGGCCATGGCCAACAACAAAACACCTATGGCTATGGCCAACAACAGAACGCCTATGGCTATGGCCAACAACAGAATGCTCAGATCCTCGAGAAAAATGTGTCTGGGTTATCTTTAAGAGATTATAGTGTCATGAAGAATTCGCCTTTTCCAGTTTCAACTCTCTCCAATGGGCCATCTGGAAAGCCATCGAAACCAGAGGACAAGCTGTTTGGAGACCTTGTTGACATTTCCAAATTCAAACCTACTAAAACCATTCAAGGTTAGAGTTGTGGGCATGTGACAATGGCTTGGTTTGCCCTCCATTTTAGTTTGATAACTTGCTCAGGCTTCGTTTTCGATTTAATTTATTTGGGATTGAATTTTCATTAATATATTTTTCTTCATCGATTGTGTTGATCTTTTAGCATTTTTTTTCCTCGTTTTCTTCCCATTAGAATGTACATTTCTGTAGAATCAAAACAGTATAAAGGCTTTCTTTTTGTTAGGGTGAATAACGTTATCATCTATCTTCTCTTCTCATACAGAGGCGGTGTCTATCAGGTGACGAAACATTGACTACTTTTGTTGCATGTATCATAGCTATGTTTCTTTAGTCAACATTATACTTCCATTACAATGCTTTGGTGTATTAGTGGATACGATAACATAGTAGAATTGGCAATCCATGTGTATTCAAATTACCTTTAAAGTTTAATCAAGTACCTCTGCCTTGCGAAAGCAAGCAGAACTTCGTAAAGAAATGGGTGTTCTTAGCAAATTTTAATCATCGAATATTTGGAGTGTTAATCAGCTTCCCGCTTAAATATGTTGCATCACAGCCTATGGCTGTGGCCAACAACAAAATGTTCAGGCCCTCGGAACCAGAGGACTTGCTTTTTATAGACACTTCTAAATTTAAACCTACCAAAAAAACCATTCAAGGTTAAGAGTTTAGGGCATGCGACAGTGGATTGTTTTGCCCTGCCTTTTTAGTTTGATAACTTGCTCATGCTCCTTTTTCGATTTAAGAGTTTTGAGTAATATATTATTTCTTCGTTGTTCCTTGCCATTTGTTTTTCTGGTTTTCTTATAGGGATGACAAAATCAACCAACCCGCCTCGCTCCGTTTAGTAACCGAGGCAGGGACGGAGAACATAGTTCCCACCCTGAACCCAACCCGACTATTATTTTTAATTCTATTTTAATTTATTTTATATTTTGTAATTTAAATTGTATATAAAAATATTATTAAATAAGTAAAGGGGGGCAGTAAACAGGGTTTTTATTACCCCCGATGGTGAGGAATGCCCTTGCCCCTACCTCCATCCATTGACATCCCTATTTACAGATATGGTGTTCAAAGATTGAAATAGTGACAAACTTGACCAACATTATACATCCATACTAATGCTTCAATGATGTGTTTGATGTACAGTAATGGATACAATTGCATAGTACAAGATACAATCCATTTGTATTTCATAATCAATGCTTGAATGACATGTTTGGTCTGTATTACTGAACAATATCACACAATTCAGTAATCAACAACTTAACAAACATACCGAAGATGTTATAATAGGTAGCAAGTGACTATTTTTCCTTCATGATTTGAGATCTCGGCTAGAGATATGATTACCTTTTTATAGTAGGATGCAATAAAATGTGCAACCGTTTGAAAAGAATTTGGTGCCAAGTTTGTGGAAAAAGAATTGATTAAGCTAATTGACATGAGCCTGAGGTCCCCCCTAATTGACATAATAGTCATGACCGCTGAGGAAACCAGCGGTCGTGACTATTGTCAGAGTGGTTGAATAGCCATAAACAAAGACGGCCGGAGTAGCCATCGGGATTGTGTTTCAGCTTAAAAACCCATTTATTATCAACCACATGCATCCCTTCAACATAAGGAACACAGGACCATGTCTGATTTTTCATTAATGCAGAATACTCTTCAACCATAGCATTCTTCCAGTGAGGTTCAAGTAACACTCGACTGTCAACTGGTCCTTTTGGACAAGAAGAGGTGTTGGAGAGAGTGGCTGTGGAAAGTTTAGGTTAAAAAATACTAGATTTTGATGTGTTTGAAGTGTTCATGGGGATGTCCAAGTCATGAGGTGCAGAAATGGAAGGTGGAAAAGAAGACGTCCGTATATCTGCAAGTTCTTGACCTTTAACAGGAGCTAGAACAGGGCACAGAATAGACTGGGAATGCTGAATATAATTGAAAAAAAAAAAGGAATTACTAAGGAATAGGGTTAGCAGAAATTACAAAAGGAGAGACTTCTATTAGTTACACATCACAATATTATCAAAATAATAACGAACTTATTATGATAATCTTTCAATATCTTTAAGAGACGCAAACATTACAACATATAGAGACAATATACAAAATCAACCTTACAGTTTAAGGAACTTATCGAACCAATCACTGGCTCTTTTGACCATCAAAGGTGTCATCTGATGTCCAATTCCTGGTTCTGCTACCACCTGAAAATAAAGATGATGGGTAAAACACTGAACTTATCAAACCGATCATTGGCTAATAATCAGTCATGCTATGTGTGAGCTAGCGCGTGCACATGCTGCTATTGGAAACTAAGCCTTTTCTATCGCGATTCATTTTAAATTCATTAGAAACGTCTAAATATTTTTATGCCTATTAGCCGAAATAGAAACAACCCTCCGACTTTTTGTTGTTGATGTTTTATAATATAATGAGGTTTTTATACAGATATATGTGCGTGAGAGCACATTTTTGTGTTAACTCTTATCGTGTTTCTTTTCTTTTAGGTTAGGGGGGCAGGCAGCAATCAGCATGGATTCCTACCTCGAAATTGTTAAGATAATCGGGATCTTCGTAAGCTTTCCTGGTTCTTGATTCTGAGAGTTCCAAGCCATCAATTGGACAACGAGGATCTTCTTTGCCTAAACTTTCCAAATATTCATGTCAATGCAAGTCCCTTATTTCTTTAGGAGAAAAACATAATAATGTTTACACATTGTTATAATTTAAATGAAATAAACATTAATACCATTTAAAATCAGGAGAGGACGAGGAGCAATGGCTGGAATTGTGTAAGGCGAATCAAACCGAGAGGCCAAACCAGGAGCTATTCTGTCCCAGACCTGTTGACAATTGTAATATCATATGGAGTTCCACATTCAGAGTACATAGCTGATTAAGCTACATATAAGGGTGTAAAAAAGTGCCAGCCCGGCCCATTTAACACTGACCTTCTCCACTACTTCTTTATCGATGGTGCTCTTGCCTAAATCAATCCGTGCTTCTGGAAACGAAGAGCAGTAAAGCAACATTCACATATTAACAAGTTAAAAAAATACTTTCCAAGAAAAATGTATACAAAGAATAAGGTGATAATTAAATTCCGAGCAAAAATCCTTTCAGGCTTCTCTGCGTCTCACCTTCAAATACAGCCTTGATACTGTCAACTCGAGCTTGCCACTTGTCATGTTCAACTGCCCATCGAAATCCCTAAAAAATATTGTAAGTATTTAGATTGTAAGATTATTGTTCACTTAACTGATCCAAAAGTTCCAAGACCTACCTGAACACCAATTATAGGGACAACTACTGCATAGCGAGTATCAGCAGCAGCAGCGAACCATGCATGCATTCCTGCACAGTGGAATTGTATTGTGAGCTCTGCAACTTGAAGAAAGATTCATATTTAAAATGTAGTTATCTTCCACTAAATTCTAACAACCTCCAAGTGATTCGCCAGTAATTCCTATCCTAGACGGGTCTACATCCTCCCTTTGAGTAAGATAATCCGCCAATTTTATCAAGTCCCACACCTGCGAAATTCAGTTTACGCATATTTTTAGATGGAACATACAATTTTAAAAATGTATAGCTTCATGGTCCATACTGTAAGAAAATTGATTCTCGGTTGACTCATCATCAATTAATATAAGAAAATTTAAATTGTCAACATTGACTTGTCCAAATCCGTAAAGAACTGTCTTTAACAAATACAGGATATGGCACCATTACCGTATCAAATACGAATGGCATCGTATTGCCTTTCTTCCATGATGACACCAGAGCCTGCATTATGACAAAGAAAGAAAAAACTAAGTCAATCTAATCACTGATGGTGAACTGGGATATACTTTTGAGCTCATTAAGCCTAGAGAAGACATGCACAAAGTATTGCAAAGAAAGTAGGAAGGGGAAAAGCTATTCTTTTCAACTCTTTTATATTCAAGACAAGTGGTGTTCTCGCCACAAAATTTGGTAATATCTACATATGTTTGCGAGCCAAACACCATTGTACATAAGCAACACCTAGAATTCCTCATCATGTCAAGGACCAGAGAGCTTATCCACTTATTGATGCATACTATTTCTGACTTAATAAAAATTTTAATTTAATATATCAATGAGAAAGAAAACAAAAGGGAGCGATCCAGTAAACACACATCTCTATAGGTTGTCAGGCTGCTGGCACGCTCTCCATGATATCGAGAATCAATGGCTATCGCCATGTAATCCCTTGACGCATATGCCTGAGACAAAGGGAGAAAAGGAAAACTCTCATCCATGCTATGTAATCCCTTGAAGCATATGCCTGAGACAATGGAACAGATAAGGCAAACTCTCGTCCATTAAAACATCTTCTAATGCTGCAAGCATGTGAGAAAATTATTTAATAATCACCTCAAGCAACGGCCGCAGCCACTCCTTGCATTTATTTGTGCTATGTAGAAAGACAATTGCTGGTCTTCTTTTTTCACTGCTTTCTTTCATACTCAATATCAAAACTGGGAGATGTCCTTGATCCCCATCCTAGTTGGGGATATGAAATTATTAGCCAACTCATTCTAATCGAATTGAGAATGAATACCTATATATATCAGGTGCATCACTCTTGTAGTTTCATGACTTTCATCATAAAATAACATTACTAAATGAGAACTATCATAATATTTAACATCGCAGGCTTTAAAACTCAAATTGTTTATCCTATAAATAATAATCTGGAGTAATCAATTTTCCACCTATGCATAAAATTAGCAATTGAAAGAGGATATGACCTATATGTTTATCTTTTGGTTTAAAGGAGAGGGGGAGGTTCTAAACAAGAGAGACAGATTGATTATACGATTTCCATAGGAACCGCCACCTATCAGAGTAATCAGGAAATGGATAAACTGTTAACATATTGAACTGTTCTTCCGTTGGGAAAAGAGAAAAGAAATGCATAATGATGCTGTCAGAGATTACATAATGAATTCATAATTTCTATTTTTTTTTTCTTTTATTCATTAATTATTTTCGAATGAGAACTTTCTGCTCTCCAGTGTTGCGTCAAACTTCAGAATTATGTTCTGGGAAACAAAGACCAGTACCACCTCTATACCATGTCCAAGTTCCCTACTTCAAGATATAACAACATCCTAAAAAGAATCGAAGAAACAAAAACAGATAAATCCTAGATACCTCAGTAATCAGGTACAAATTCTCCTCCTGAATAAGTTCCTTAAAATTCGGAATATCTTTCTTTGGAGTAGACTCCATGGCCTGTATGTGCCAGAAAAGGCATCAGGATAATAGAGTCGACTATTGATGAAACGAAAAAAAAAATCCTAAGCAGTTTCCAACCTTGCTGAAGGTTGGCTTTGGAGTTTCCTGATTCAGTGGATCTCGCACAGGTTGAGCAGGTTCAACAGAAAGAGGAACTGACAACAGTTAAGAAACATTTGAATTTATCTGCAACTGTTAATGAAGAAACACAGATGAAATTTGCATTTAGATCTAAGAACACATACAGACTGAGAAAAAAAAAAAACCAAAATAAATATTTATAGCTTCCCTGTCAATAAATGGCCAATCAAAGAAATGCAATCTGCATAGTTAAAAAGTGAAAGGCATTTTCAGGAAACACAAAAGCTTGAACACATATTGGACGGCTTTTTTTGGTCTTATGTAAGTTCCTGTTGGCACCTGCAATCTACCTAAACCAAAATTCCACTAAATATCACCTGTCAGAACATTGTCTTAATTTTACATTTTCCTGAATCAACAATTAGAAGAAGCCTTTTACTCGTAGAGATTAAATGATAGATCCCAATCCGGTTCACATAGTTGCTGCCACGTCATTAGTTCAATCGGTAGATCTCATTCAGCAAGCAGCAGCTAATTTCTATGACTTAATCTGAGGCCTAATTCTGCTACTCTTCAGCTGATTGCATATTCACAGGAGCTTCCACTGGTGCAGCAGTAAATGGGGACTCTATCACTTACCAAAAAAAATTTGACCACAGTGATAACAATATTTCCCGGGAACAGAAAATTATGCTAATATCATGCGTCACAAGTAGAAACCATTCATTTCTAATCTTTAACCCATTTAGAGCTGCTATTGCTTCGAAATTGAGACATAGACATAATGCAGTCATTTCTGAAGCTTCCGGAGCGGCAGGACTAGATTTTGTGCAGGAGCATGGTCACAGAGCTGTTATTTTAGAAGTAGATACATAAAATGGGTAAAACCTATTACAAGGAGGGATTAAGTTTGAACTTATTCACAAAGATACTATCCAAAAGTGCTTTTAAATTATTATTAAAGAGAATGCGACGGGGTGGTACATATTATGGCCTCATGGGGGCAACTTCTATGTGGCGAATTTCATGTTGGACTGGATCCCCTCCTTACTGCATTGTATCGTGTATCATTTGGTATCTGAATACAATTTTTTGCAGCCGGTAAAATAAGACAACTCATTGTTTCCTAGTACATTACTCCTTGATCTACTACATACAAGTTTACAAAATCAATAGAAAGCATATATTATCACCCACAGAATTATTTTTTACCTGCATACATTTTTGCAGAATGGTAGAAATATCTAATTTATTACCCATAGAAATATTCAATATCTTTTAAAGATAAGAAATTTCAAAGAATTTTTGGACTGAGCATGAGAGTAATGACATTCCTTTTCAATTAGAGAAGGGGGAGACTTAATATCTGTTGAAATCACGTAATAATTAGGGGTCAATATTGATCTTTCCATATATGAAATATTGTAATCTCTTAGATTGTAGAATTATTTCTTTCCATATTTTTTCTCCGTTCCTTGTACTAAGCGAATTTCATGTTGGACTGGATCCCCTCCTTATTGCATTGTATCGTGTATCATTTGGTATCTGAATACAATTTTTTGCAGCCGGTAAAATAAGACTACTCATTGTTTCCTAGTACATTACTCCTTGATCTACTATATACAAGTTTACAAAATCAATAGAAAGCATATATTATCACCCACAGAATTATTTTTTACCTGCATACATTTTTGCAGAATGGTAGAAATATCTAATTTATTACCCATAGAAATATTCAATATCTTTCAAAGATAAGAAATTTCAAAGAATTTTTGAACTGAGCATGAGAGTAATGACATTCCTTTTCAATTAGAGAAGGGGGAGACAGGAGACTTAATATCCCACTTCATAATTTCACAAGATGCATTATAAAATTTTATATATTCACTTTCACAAGCTGTAACTCATTTTCATTTTAGAGATTTCTTTTTCTTTTTCTCCCTCCCATCCTCCATTATCTATTACCAATCACTATAGAACACANTTTTTCTTTTTCTCCCTCCCATCCTCCATTATCTATTACCAATCACTATAGAACACACAAAGTCAAACATCATTTACAATTGGTAAATATTTTCTAATTCCAGCTTCTTCTTTTTTCTTCGTATACAAACATTTCTTGAAATTCAAAACCTGAAATGTGAGAAATTTCCGTTCTGCCAACCAAGGTAGAAATCAATCAATTTTTTTAATATCAAATCAAACAGCAGCAGAAAACTTCAATAAAAGTCAAAATCCAAACCGAATTCAGCTCGCATACCAAACATAAACGAAAAAATAAACTAATTAAAAAAAATTCAACACAGATATGCCAAACTTCAAGCAATTAAGTACTCCAAATCACATAAAAAAGTGTGAATGCGAGTGAAAATTACCTTCTGCCGTTCGACGGCTGCGACTGCGAAGAACTTGGAGAAATTCATCTCGAAGCTTGGTAGAATCCATGGAATCTTCCATTTTCCGATCAACTGAGTATTGTAGAGCAGTTGTAGAGTTCGTATTCATTACGACCAGAGAAATTCCATTTGTACAGGAGAATGACAAGTGTCTTAAGAATGTGGGAGAGTTGGGTCCCACGCAATAAAGTAAGGATTATGCTAAATGCACAATTCTTTATACCCCTCTCACCTCTCACATGGAACATGGAGGGGCCACACACAATAAAATATTCGTGAGCCCCATGCATGTGAGAGTTGTGTAAAGGATTGTGTAAATCATGGAGTGTACATGTAGCACAATTCAGTAAGGATTATGAGAAATGCTAAAGGAACATAATGATTGATATAAGAGTTGGCACAATTATCAAACGGGGGCGCCGGTTGGCAATTGTATCAAATGTTATGTCAGCCTTTATGTTTTTCTAGCATTTCTCAAGTAAAAAAAGAAATTTTCTGAAAGTACGGAAAAATTTTTAGCAGAAATTCTACATATATTCACATGGGGTTAAATATTGTTTTAAAAAATGGGACCCACCCCATGTGTGTTTTCTGTATGATTTCTAGTTTTTTTTTTTTTTTTTGCTGTACATATAGTGCTTCTCTAAAAAAAAATTACCCACCCACCTCCTTGTGAGTGTCTGTCTGTAAGCGTTCTGTTTTACTTTCTCTCTTACGACTAATGCTCTATTGACAGGGGACAGCTGTGCATGTCCTTGCATGTGCGAGAGCTGATTGCAATGTGCGATAGAGTTATCATTTCATTATTGATAAGAAAAGGTTACTTGAAGGAATCTTCATAGCCATTATTTATAAAATTACGTTTCTTGTTCATCAATGGTTGATATCAAGTTTCACATTCTTTACGTGTGAGACATCTTATCATTGATAGAAAAAATGTCAACAATTGATGTATAAGAAACATAATTCCCACTACAATCATGCTACTTTTGTGGTTAGGGTAAAGAGAAATGAATTACGCTACTTTTACCCCCCTTTTTAAATAGATTGATTTAAAGGTGCTGAGTTATCAATATTTTACAGGCTGGTTGAACGTAAAAAATAAAGTTAACAATTTGTGAATATTGTCGTCTTAGCATTTGTAAACCAATATGTTAAATAAATCTATACAAGTAGCATTCTTGAAGAGAAATTGGTGTGTACTGTTGCAGGCACCCAAAAGTAATACCTTAACTTCTAAAATTAATGTAGTAGTGGAAGTAAGAGT